AAGAGGAACTTTAAAGAGAAATTATCATTCACTATTCTTTGTTTGTATTCTGTCTGCTTCTGCAGCTTGTGTATCTTGTTTTATTTATATATACCTGCTAGATTCTTTTACAGACATGCTTTCTTTTCTTTAAAGATCTTCTCTTTTTGAGTTTTGTTCAATGTGTTAAGAGATGTATCTCTGTTGTCTGTATTATCTGCTGATGTCTTGCTGGTGGTGGCTCTACTGCTATTAGCATCTTCATCAATGTTCATCTTCTTCATATTAATATCTATCTCTGTCAGGTTTGCAACATGGGGTGTTGTTGTGGTTTATCTTGTAAGTCTTGATAGTGTTGTACCAACTTAGGCAATCATATATCAGAGTGTTTAGAATGTTAGAAGAACCAGTTATAGATTATATATATTTTTCTAGGATTAGGGGTATGAAAGAGCTAAGTAGATATGATGCCCACAACTGATGGAAGGAAGTCATGTGTAGAATGTAGAAGTCCTCTAACTAGAAGACTGAACACTGGGGTTCCCATGATTCATGCAAATTGTGTGATTCTTATATATTCAGAGTTAGGGTCATGTGAATACCCCTGAACATCCAACATCATTCAATGCTTGGTTGGTCTAGGTCTACATTTGTAACACCTGATGAGGATGAAGAAGATGTGATGAAGATGATGAGTATAAGAATCAATAATGAGAAGGTTGAAGGTGAGAAGGTTAAAAAGAATAAGTTAAAAGTGTTGAAAACATTGCTAGTGTTGGTGATTACAGAGATATGGAGAAACATAATTCTGGTGATGGTGAATCCAAAAGCCTGCTAAGCCTAATCAGATTAACCAGCATGCTGATAAATCAAATGGACCAATCAGAAAACAGGAACAATTTTGTACCAGGAGTTTGGATTTTCTGACTTCCGCTTTCCAATCCAGACAGTGTCATGGCTCACTGCAAATATTACACACGTGATATTAATGCCAGCTTAATTCAAAAACCTATTCCTTGAGATGATTGATCTATTTACGCGTCTCTAAGCAACAATTATGACTTTGTTACAAAGAGATTTGCAAAGGTTGAGTGATGGGAGAAAGTAGGGGTGGATATCAAGCATGTGCCTTCCTGTTGAGAACAAAATTATTTGGCTATTGCCAGATGTGACTTCACTGGATGGGTGGAAGCTAGAGCCTTGAAAAAGGCAATGGCTGAAGCTGTAGCCAAATTTCTTTATGAGAATACCATCTGTTGATAGGGCCTACCTGCCAAATTTGTTATGGATGGAGGACCAGAGAATAAGAATATTGTTGAAACCTTACTAAAGGAATTCAACATTAAATACATTGTCATTTCACTCTATAACCCTCCTGTGAATGGTATGGTGGAAGTTGGTCATAAGTCTTTGGCTGATGGACTAGCTAAAGCTACTAATAGTATTGGAAAAGATTGGATCAAACATCTTCCTGCTATTCTGATGGCAGATTGAATAACAGCTAAGGCTAGTACTAGTGTCTCCCTCTATAGACTGCTAATAGGTCAGGAGGCAGCTCTTTTAATTAAGCTTGAGATTCCTACCTGACAAACAATTCTCTAGAGAAATGTTTGAACAACTGAAGATCTTCTTCTTGTAAGCACCACAAATTAAAAGATGAGATGAGGATTTTCTGGAAGCAGCACACCATCAGCTCTGAATGTGTGCTAGAAATAAGGGATACTTTAACAATACCTATAACATTTGGACCAACCCTCTTCAACCTGGAGATCTTGTTTTGCTTCACAATACCAAGAAAGATCAGGATATGTCTAGGAACAACACCCTGCACTTTTGATGACTAGGACCCTATGGGATTAAATCCACTAATAAAGAATTAGGCTTTTATCATCTTGAAGAGTTAGACAGCACTGAAATCAAAGAATCTATTGCAGGAAACAGATTAAAGAATTACCTTATGAAATCTGGAACAGAGCAGCTCAATAATAGTCTGGCAGATTCTGATAAAGAGATGGAGAACATCCCTCAAAGATATACCACAAGGAGCCAGCCTAATGTTCATCCTCAGATGTTAGCTCCTTGGATCAAAGAGATGGCCAAGGCTGGAGTGAAGATGAAAGTGACCAAGAGGAAATGGAGCAAACAAAAATACCAACTGTTATACCTGATCACTAGAGCTTTGCTGTTGTTATACCTCTACAGGATGTTTAATTTGTTGTGTTTTGTTTGCAAAGTGAATTTTTTGCTTGCTTATTCAGGAAGTTTCTTTTTCTTTGTTATTTGTTTAGCCTTCACTTTTTCTGGAGGTATTTAAAGGCCAATTTTTCTTTCCTGAAGCTTCTACTTTCTTTTACATTCAAGCTTGATTCTTTTCACAAGATTCAACACTTCTTCTTGCATTTTATTCTGTTACTCTGACATTTGCAATCTTTTTGATCACCAACATCCTTCAAAAATGGCTGGACAAAGCAACTTGCCTCCTCTAGCCCCAGCACCCAAAAACCAAGGCCTGGTCATTACCAGAGACAGTGAGGTCAACTTGAATGGCCATTTCTTCAATAACCTAACTGCAGCTATGGAGTATATTGATAACCAAGCTCCACACTACTGCTATGGTCTACAAGTTGAACTGATGAATACTCTTATGAGAGTGACTGATGTGGTTACTGACCTAGTGGCCCATTTCTATTGATATGTTAAAAGATTCAGAGCTTGGCAACATGTTACACATGCCAATTTTGAAGCCAATTTCCATGATGCTTGAAAGATTACCCTGGATCTCAAACAACATCACATTGACATGCAAAAGATCAAGGATAGGCTTGTTGCTACATGAGGTGTTAACAGAATCAATGCTATATGGCTAAAAGTAGAGAGCTTGTGAGCTGCACAAAAGCTTTGCCATACTCTGAATGTCTACAAGAATTAGAACAAGTTCACCAATAATATTAACAGTGCAGTGCTCCAAAGGCTAGAAGCTACAGAAGCTGGACATCACCAGAGCTTAGCTATATTACCAGACAACTATACTACAGCTGACAAAGAAGTTGACTGCCTTTGCAAACCTTCTTCAAGAGGTGCCCTACACCAACAAGGCCTTACTATTGGAAACTATGGTCTTCTACAGCCATTGGCTCTTCCACAGTCATCTAGCTCACAACATTCAATTCAAGATATTACTAGAAGCCCTCTTACCACAAGCAGCCCCTGAGGTCTACTGAAAGGGCTGCAGTCATCAAGATCACCAAGAGATGTTCCAATGGGTGGAATGTCTATGCCACATAGCTGCAACATATCAGGAGCCTCTATAGATAGTACAATGTCAATTAAATCATGTGGGCTGGAAACTAGCCAATCACAGCTGCTGTTTGGATTCAGCAGTGCACTGGCCAATCCACCCAGCTAATTAGAAGCTATGAAACACCACAGTAAAAGAATAGCAGCAATGTTGGCACAGCACACCAAACCCTCCAAGACTTAGATGATGGTGACAAGTCTGTTATTCCTCCCAAAAGTGATGAAGAGATACCTCAGAATGAGTGTGAAGAATCTGTTATAGCAGTACACTCTGATACTTGCCATTACTGTGGATTTGAACAGCAGCTTTTACAAAAAATAAAGAGTACCAAAACACATTCAGAGTTGGAGCTTATTCACATTCTGGAGCAGTTAGAAAAGGCCTTTAGCAATAAGAAAGCTGACATCTACATGTGTTATGATCATGCAAAACTAATGGCTTCAAAACTCAGTTTACAGACTTACATACTTAATAGAAAGGAGCTACTCAATTATTTGGCTCACATCCATAAGAATTGTCACAATATTGGTTCAGTCAAAACCAATGACAGCACATATCTTTGGTTCCATTTGGCAAATAGACCAGCCAGAGCTGAAGATGCTTTAGGCATTTACAAATTCAAACATCAGCTGATTATTCCTCTGGTCACAAAGATGAAGACATTTAACTTCAACCATTATGCATGAATAACTGGTGTAAACAGGTTCACCAACATTGATCTTCAGAAAAAATAGAAGACAGCTGGGTTTGTTGTTATTCCCCAGCTAATGTACTGGTGGAATGATAAATTACAAGGCACTACCACTACAGTTCTCACCCACATCAATGGCAAATACAATATGTACTACCATTATCAGCAAATGATTGGAGGTCACAATAAGTACAGATGGTTGAAAACAATGTACCATGGCATTGGTCAATAACTCATGCATCAGGACCCTGCATACTATCTATAGTATGTACTGACAAGACCTGACCACACTTAGAAATTAATCTTCTATCCATATTATGTCAAGTATGCCAAACCAGGGAATAAAACAGGGTTTTACCATATTGATGTCAACATTCCAGATGCCATTACTACTGGAAGAAGCATTAATATAATACAAGAATCCTTGACTTTAACTGCAGAAGAGTCTGGTGATTGCACAGAAATCTTGTCAGAAATGCATAATCATCTAGAGAATTGGTGGAGAATAGTTGAATAATGAGAATTATCCACAGATGGCTATGTTCATTACATTAAAGACACAATGTATACCAAAGATTAGGCTGGTATTCAGGACCAGAATGGGATCCCATTTTCCATTGAAGCTGGTCCTAGTCCTGAATTTAGAAACAGCTGGGATCTCAAACATGAAATCTCAGTCCCATCTCCCATCCCACTCAAGAGCTTGAGATCCTATTCCCATCACTATCCTATAAATTATTTCCCAGTCCTATTCTCAAATAGAAAATTATGTCTCATGTCCTATCTCAGCAGAGAAGATAGGCTCCTATTTCTCATTGCAGCTGGATCTTTAGTGGGACCAGAATGGGACCAGATTTTCTAGCCTTATTGTGTCAAGAGTCAAACTGGTCAAATTTTGCATGGACTGTTACCAAATTTTATTACTTTTTTGATAAAGGCAGAACTCTTAGAAAAATCAATTTCATTGTTAAAGAAAAAAACAAAGTATTAAAACTAAGTAGTAGTCAAAGTTAGCCAACAATCAGAAACTGTCTAAATAGCAAGTTCATCATTCTCATCATTATTATCATTCTTATCATTATCATCATTCTTATTATTGTTATTATTCTCTTTCTCTTTCTTCTTCTCTTTCTTCTTCTTCTTCTTCTCTTCCTGCTCCTCCAGAACCAGCTTTGTGAACCAGACAGGGGCTCTAATACCCACCATTTGACAGGCAGAGACCCTGTCAGTACCAGAGAAAGACAGAGAGGTAGTGGTGGGTAGTGACAGTGATGGTGGAGCAGCAGCAGAAGTAGTTAGTGAGGTGGGAGCAGAATACAGACAGCAGATAGTAACAGCAGAGACAGGGGCAGCAGAGACAGAGCAATCAGACACATCAATCAGATCAAAATAGTTCAATCCAGTCATAATACTGATGTCAAGAACAAGCTTCATGTCATCAGCATTAACCATAACACACTTGTAGTGCACCATTGCCATAACAGAGTTTATATTACTTAGTATAATTGTTGGTGCCATTGCTAATAGTAACTTACACTTAAATAAAGTGCACAAGATTGCTTCAGCAGTTTTCTAAACTAACTCAATAACAGTATGTTGCCAGCAATATTCATGTTCTTAATAACAGGATAAAGTAATTTCCTGAACCAATTACTAGAACAGAGCGACTAGAAGAATTAGCTCTGTAGAGCTCTGGAAGTGGTGGATTTCTTTAATGGCACCTATTTCACCAATTAGCATCAAGACTGTTACTAAAAATTGTTACTTTTTGACATATGTGTGCTGAACTTCTAATTATGAACTGAGAGGTGAGGGCAGAGGTTCTTCTGGTCAAAGTTGACTAGATTAATGTCTTTATTAACTTTACATTAATTGTTCTTCTTCAGAGCTCATTCTTTCAATACAGTCTTGTGCTGCTTCTCTCCAGTTATGTGAAATGAATGCACACAGGGAAAACTAATATCTTATCAGTAAATAATATGCACCAGAGTAGAATTCTGCAAGCACTTATCTCTTAATATAATCCATTATTGCAGTGCAGTTTGTTGTACAGAAGAATGTTGAAGAGCAGTAAATAAAAAGAGAGACTGAGAGGGAAGAAGAAAATTATCAACATTAGCTTTAAAGAAAAAGAAGAAGAAGAGGAAGAGAAAGAGAAGAGAAGAGAAACTAATCTTATGTTATTATTCTGCAGCAGAATAGTAACAATGTGTTGAGCTTGTCTATAGTAATGTGCCTGTAAAATGTAAACAATATATATAGTAATTATTCTATATAAGTACTTGATCAATACACTCTGTATTCTCATTATTTTGTAGTCAGTATAGCAACAACACATTGAGCTTGCTTATAGCAACATGCCTGTAGAATGTAAACAATATGTATAGTAACTATTCTATACAAGTAGTTAATATACTCTATAATTCTATTATACAGTGCCTTCAATTCAACTTATTACATACAATTGTGAAGATGGGGCCAAAGCAATATTCAATAAGAGAGAAAACCTGTGCAGCATGAGAGCACTACCAGATCTTGAAAGATTATCAAAAAGATATATTCAAGACAGGAGAGACAGATTGCAAGCCACACTATAATATGCTGAAGGGAATTCAAGCTAAACATAAGTGATATACATTTTTAGTGATTTATGTTGAATTATATTGATATCCATTGCAGACAGAATAGTAGTGAGAAGAATTGCAAGATAATTGAGAATAAAGTCATTAAACAGCTAATAATCAAGTGATTTGTCAAGAGCAAGTCAAAGAAGTACTAGAAGCACCAGCTCATGGTCTCTCAGCAAAAGAAGAGGAAGAAGAAGAAGAAGTATTATCAAGAAGAGATCACAAAAACTGAGAATAAAGTTCAGCAGAACAAGAAGATAGAATTTAAAAGTAATGAAATTTGGTAATGATTCTGATATATTTAGGCCAAAACAAGCCAGACACAGCATTCTATTACTGCATGTAAGCAGACCTGGTTCTGTTAAATAATAGTCAAGCTTAAGATCAAGATCATAGCTTATGATTATAATTGTCTTGCTGCAGTTGGTGTGTCAAGAGAAGAGGTTGAGAAGAAGATGAGGGAATTTCTGAGCTAATTACAGAATCTGATGGAAGACAACAACAGCTCACCTCTTTCAGAGAAGGTGAAGAAAGATGATTTTGAGATTGTGGTATTCTCTAATGAGAACAATAAGAAGAACAATAAGATGAATGATGATTGGATTATTAATATTTAAAAGAGAAAGTTAGATTTTTAGTTCTTTTTTTATATTAATTTGAGAATGGGGTGCTATTAAATTAGTAAAATATTTTATTTTTCTGAAGAAGAATGTTCTATTTTGTAGATGATAATTTTGTAGTTAATTACTGTGCAGAGTAGAATAAGCCTAACTAGCTGGATTATCAAATTTTGCTTGAACTGTTACCAAATTTTGTTACTTTTTTGACTAAGACAGAACTCAGAGAAAAATCAATTTAATTGTAAAAAAAAAAACTAATTAATGGTCAAAGCCAGCAAACAAGCAAAATCTACAGAGATTTCTTCAGAATTAATTATAGTGCAACATGAAAAAAAATAATTTGTATTGTGGAAGAAGCAGCATCACAAGTTGTTTGTTAATTGGTAGTTAACTACTGAAGCTGCTTAGTTGATTAAGAATAAGAAATGTGGTGACTTTAACTAAAAGACAAAGTAATATCATTCTGATTTTTGATCAAAATTTGATCAGATGGCAGAGTATTCTAAAAGTACTCCAGAGATGATTTGCAAGCATTACCAAATCTTTCTCAGTTATTTAAGCTTTTCTTGAAATAGTACAAGTAGTCTGAAGAAGCATTTAACCAGTAAAGACTGTACAAAAACTGATGACAGATAAAATAACACTCTGGTTAATATAATAATAGATTATGAATTCTAATTTCCCAAATGTAACAGATTTTAGTAACAGTTCTGGTGTCTTAGTAATAATTTCTGAAGCATTCTCAAACAGATTCAGATCTATCTGTTTCTGAATACAATTAAGACAATTTTCTCCAGCAGCTTGTGCAAATATTAATATTCTTGAATCTCTTATTTTATGCTATCAAGAATCCAGCATTCTGCACATTAATAATCATGCTCAAGTCTGCAATGGCATTACAGATACCCATACAAGAAATATTATATCAGGTTATGAATAATATGTATAATTAGCTATTCTGAAATCTTTTCTTTAACCATGACTCAATAATCAAGGTATCTCTGGCAGTGAATAATTAGACAAGTTTTAATAATCTTGTCTTTATGATAATTAATAATTATTACATTACAAAGAATTGGGAGTACTGTAAGCATTTACTGAGTTTTGAAAGTTTAGAGAGTGCTTATACTGACAAGAATATGATAGAGATTCTTCAATAACTGTTAATAGTATGAAGACTTGAGAGCAATCTTCTTGTAATTACAAGTAACAATATATCAAACAATGATATCATGCAAGCACATCTTATACATCAGTTAAGGCCAGCATTGCAGCAGTTAAACAAGATAACTGATTAAAATGCAGACAGTAAAACAATACTCTGTCTTACTTATATAATTTAACTTGTGGTTCAAGAGCTGGTTTGCAATCTCAAGATTCAGCCAGACAATAATACTCTACCTACTATCTTTGATAAGAGCTTAATTACTGATGATTTAGCATCAACAGACACATTTGTAAATACTCTTAGAAAGATAACAAAATTTGATAACAGTCTTGATATACTTGAGTTGATTTACTAATCTTTGCTTAATAATAAATTTATCTTGTTGCCAATGCAACTAATATCTTTTTCTAACTTGCTGCATGTTTCCAAGAATATCAACAAGAGAACCAGCACAAGATAATTCAAGATATTTGCACAAGATAAAATTCTATCTATAAAATATGTATTTGTATCTTGTTGCTTCAACAAGCTGTGAACTTATAAATTCAGAACTTATCACTAAAATACTAAAGACTTTACTTATTGAACCATGACTGAAAGCAGATAGAGTATATAGTTGAACTGTTGCAGTTATTTAGTTAATTTATCAAGATACTGTTCAAAATAACAGACCCAATAATTTATCTAGTATAGACAATCTACAATTATCTTTTCCAGTATTTAGAAAGAGAGAAGAACAAGATCCAACAGTTAATAACAACAGAGAATATTAAAGAAACTATTAAAGCTGCCAGCTTGAAATTCCAGAAATACTATAGTGATACTGAGCATTAAAAAGATGAGCTGCTAGCTATAGTCACTGCTCTCCACTCATCACACCACATAAGACCATATAATTCAGAGAATTGGATTAGTGATAAGCATAAAACATACTGACAACATATTTTAAGGTTTTACAAAAAGCATTATGAGAAATATAAACAGTCAAGAGAAGTAATACTTGATATAAATGATGTATATTTATTATAAGTATTATTCTGATTTCCTCTCTGCCAACTTCTCTAGAATATTGAGCAAATTATTTTTAAGAGATTCTATTAAAGACAAGCAAATTTCCAAAATAAAATGCAGCAATGTTTAAATAATGAGAATTTAATATCATCTCAAGCTTTAATTCTAGAATAGTAAAGGATGCTAGAGTCTGATTTTCCAACTATTGCTCAGATGGCAAGAGATATTCTGGCTGTATCTTTAACAGAGATTAAGATAGAATGAGTTTTTAATGTTGCTCAGAATATATGTTATTATTAATAATTGCAGCTCCATGCATCTACAATCAAGAAGATCATGCTACTTAAACATGGAGATAAGATGTATATACTGAATGAAGCACTCATATTATATAAGAAGTTGGCCAAGAAAGTTATTCAAGATAATCAAGATAATCAAGATACTTCAGAGATTGTACAGAAAGAGATTGCAAGCCTGCTAAATTTACTACTTAATTCAGATAAGAAACAGAAAATGTGTCAATGTAGATAGACTCAAGTAGCTAAAGTCTAATAGCTTGCAATATGATCCAATTATACAAAAAGTATTATCAAATTTTGTTACTTTTCCAAAGTTGAATAAATTAATAAAATTATGTTAGAACTGTTACCAAATTTTATTATCTTTTAACAACACAAATAAGACTGAGATTCCTAGTCCCATTCTACACTTTACTGATTCCATCTCATATACAATATTGAAATCCCAGTTCTATTTCATTTTGTCATGACCAGATTCCAGGCCCATTCTATTAGCTAGATTTTGATCCCAGTCCCAATCCCATCCTGATCCCAGCTTCTATAGAACTGTCCCAATATGCTGTTAAACAACCCAGTCCTATTCTGTTGAGCTGAGCTTCAACCCAATCCTGTTCTTGAGATGGGAATTGGGACAGGAATCCAGGACCAGGACAGGAAATCCTGGAACCAGATACCACTTTGGCAAAGATGATGAAAGAAGATTTGGTATCAGATGGACTGATGTTATTTGCAAGCCTGGTGATATTTAAATTTCAAGCTCTTTGCTATTTCATGGAGCCCATGGTTCATGCAAAAAGATTTGTTGCACTATACTATTCTGGTATGTGGCAATTCAAGAGAACCATGAATATCTAGAAGTCAATAAAGCTGGTATCTGGTCCCAGCTCTCTGCTATATATAGAGATCTAGTTCTAGGGTCTTTGTCTCCATCTGGCCATTTAATCTGTTACATATTGATTCCATATTGATTCTCTACTGCCATTCAATTACAAGGCTTAGAAGCTATATTGGATGCTTTGGTAGACTGAATTAGATGGGACAACCCTATAGTAATTGAGGAACTGGATACTCTCTTTGGACCTGATGATAAGAAGACTCAGAACTTTATTAATAACTGATGCATAAAGGCCATGTGAATTACTCTAGATGCTATTATCAAAACATACCAAATTGAAAAGAAAGTTTTTGGTAACAAATCATATTGGCATTGTGTGTATAATAACATTGACCCAGCATCTGTTTAGTCTTCTCCTCCTCCTGAGAACTTGGTAGAAGAAGAGGATTATGATGATCACTATTAGGGATTGTGGCTGTCACTCTCTTTATTCTTATTTCCTATGTTTTTCCTTATCAGACTGCTCATTACTATTTATTATTCTCTTATTTTACTAAATTGCTTTTGTTTTGCTTTATATATTGCTTGTTGTCAGGGGACACCAACACTCTAAGCCAGGAGGAAATGTGGTGGGGATTCTGATACCATATTAAGATGAAGTTTGTTCCAGTCCAAGGTGCAACCCCCCCAAAGCTACTATCCCTGAGCTATATAAACTGCCCATAGCCCCTACATCTCGCTCATTACCTTCGCGCACCTTTTGCACTTTACTACACTCTTGTTCCTTATTATTATTTTGGTTATTAGTTAGAGAATGTGAATATCTCTTGTTCATAAAGTATACTACTGTTCCTCTCTAGAGCTGCCTGTATTAGTACAGGGCTCCTTAAGACTACTACTACTACTCCTTATAAGCTTAGACATCTATTAGGACATACGTTTCGGTGCTTTCACTACTCGGTTCAGTACTATCTCTACTATATTGTGATTTTTTTTACTTCTCTTGCACTATCACCTTCTCAACCAAATCGCCTACTTTGATGAGGCATCCTATCGTACCCCACTTCAGTATTTTCTTTATTTGTGGGAGATTTTCTTTATTATCTTGTTAAAATACTTCTTGTTCTTGAGAGATTGAGATTTTCTGTTTCTTCTTATTTAGACTCTTGTTCTACTGATTTTGTTTCTTCTTTTCTAGAATTAACTTAATAAGAATCACTTATTCTTATAGTTTTACAACTGTTTCTAATTAATATTGTAGCTTATCAAGTTCAGCTTGATAATAAGACCTGACACGATATAAAGAGCGCACAGAAAGCCATAAAGATCCAGATAAATGAGTACTGAATCATAAGACATAGCATGTATTTTAGGAATGCTGCTGAAGGCTCACAGCCTCTACTCCAAATGTGAGGATATTAGATCTCAACATGCTACTTCCCTAGCCATGCGGCACGGAGACGTGTTGTTTTGGGTTTCCTAATTAGGCCAAGGGCGTACACTTTCTTTTTTGCTATAATCTCCCTTCCAACTCTCTCTCTAACTACTAACCTACACAGTTTCACCAGCTACCCTACAAGCGCACCAGCTCTTGAAATCAGTAAAGGTAAGCTCTCTACAGCCATGAGTTCCATTCTTGAAAGAGCTTATAAGCTTGCTAACTAGAGATTAGCAATATACAGACTTCCTTGTGAGATTCCCTTTGCAAAAGGAGCTTTGAAGCCACTTTTGGCAGGCTGATATAGAGCTCAAGAGCATTGCTAGATATTTCCTCCGAACAATTTTGTGTGTCGCGCGGCTAGATTTTCTCCAATATCCTGGCTTATTTCCCCAGCAGCTCCCACCTCGGAGCCTCACTATGTCGGCTTTCAACCGGATCATCAAGAAGCAAGCCGTCGGCAAGGTGGTGAAAGATGGAGTGGAGTATGTGCTTTCCGTGGCGACCGAGACGAGCGACTGGACACGCCCAGAGGGTGTCGCTGAGATGATTGGCAAGAGAGCCGGCCCAATTATTCAGAATTCAAAAATACCACTGCCCCCCGGTGCCGTCGAAATATGTGTCAGGTATGTTATAAGCCCTCGCCTGCTCAGCTTATAAGCATGCTGGGAGTAATGCTGACAACAATCCACGCAATAGGGAGCCTGAGCATAAGAATGAAGCCAGCGATGATCAGAGAACCCATTTAACTGGCGTCGCTTTGTTCAAAAACGGCGATGGCACAACTCTGCACTTCGAGAAAAAAGAAAATGACAAGTCAAAGTAAGGATGCTCAAAGCCTCTTTAGATGGAAGATGAAAGATTAATAAGATTCTAGGGGCACTTGAACTCTTCAAAACTCCAATTTGCTGATGAATGTAAGGGGATGTGGGCATTCCTGGGAGAGAGTTCAGGGTTGAGCGCTGGCGTCCCCTTGGATATAAGGCATATTCAGGTGACCAATGCTGCGGGTGTTGTTGGCTGATGTTTTCATGTTATGTTGAAGTTGCCTGTATCCTTTTCAATGCTTAGCTTGCTTATTTTGAGATTGTTGTTGGGTTCTAACCCTGGTTACATACTTTCATTACCCCTATGAAACAAAGTCCTGCGTCGGCACTTCGGACCGTTCATTCTATCCACCTGCTTATTCAACTCCATTAAACCACTCGTCTTCAAGAAGCTCTTTTGCTGTCGGCCTATCCCTGGGGTCCATCTTCATAATCCTCAAAATAAACTCCCTGTCCTCCGGCGAAATCTCTTTTTGACTAGCATACTGGAAAGGCTTCAATTGGTCTGACGGCACAGAAGCCATAATATATCTCAGAATCGCCAATGTTTCCCGATCAGCAAGGTCAGAGTATGAACAGGGGTATGGCCCGAAAAAGATGTGGTATTTTGCAAGGATATTGAGTTCATATTCATCGTGACCCCGAGGAACTTTGGGTTTGAATATGAAGAAATTGTCGCCCCAGATCATGGATATAACCTTTGTTGATAAACAGTTAACATTGGCCTTTGTTAGGAGAAAGACTTGAGCTAGGGGTGTTTGATAAGTACCATTGTTCCAAAGGACCAAATGTCAGTTGGTGGGCCCCATTGCAGTCCCAGTTGTGCCTCTGGGCTCCGCCAGATTGGAGTACCAATCCCATCACATTCCTGGCAGTACCGAGAGGTAATGTGGACAGTACTCTCCAAGTCAGCGAGCTGAATGTCAGTAAAACGTAGCCCACTCTCACCCTGAGAAGAGGGGGCAAAGTTAACTAGGACATTGTCCATTTTGACATCTGTAGAGTCCATCCTGTCAGAACCTAGGAACACACAGGTTCATCCGGGAAAATTCTAACCTGTGTGCACAAATCCATCTTCATGCAGCAGCTTCAACGCTGTAAGGACCCTTTTCGATACATATTTGATCTCTTTCGTAGTTAGCTTCTTCTTGTTGGAACTGGCGAGTAGGTCATCTTCTAGATGCCTCAAGACAATAGCTGGCGGGTCGGTAGGCTCCACTATTTCATCGATCAACGGACGTAGGTACTGTGTTCGAGATTGGAACTTCTTGAGAACATCTCTCTCATTGGTGATGCGGAGATCGTTGCGTGCGGATTTGATCACGACAGTCTGCCCAATTTTGCATCTAATAAAACAAGGTATATGTAAACACCAGGAAAGCACGCCAAAATTATTGCTCAATGTAAGTAGCGAAAGATAGAAATACCGTCCAAGCCAAACCGAATCTCCAAGCTGCCTTGTGATGGTGTACGTGCTGATAGCGCCGATGAGGATCTGGCCCAGCTTCAGGAGTGGAGAAGCCGATGAACTTGATGAGCCAGCGACGGACTGACCCAACTTTCCAAGAGAGGAGTGGGTTGTCATTATTATTATTGCGGACTCGAGAAAAGGCGGGTCATGCAAGGACAACGAAGTCGATGCGCGACTTTACCATGTACGTTCCAATAAAGTCCAGGGAACGAGGAAGGGGCACGCTCTGGCACAATGTACCTGGAGTCAGTTGAAAAAGCGTTGATTAATGGCTTCTCCTCAAAAAGCGGCTGATGCAATCCTCCAAACAGGGCTTTGTTTTTGATGTTTTGCGCTCGGTTGACAAGGCCATGGCAGCTTAGGCTAACGGAAAAATGATGACCCGGGGGCTTAGACCCGGTTTGAGTACTCGCTTCCGCTGACGCCATCGTGTTCTATGCCGCCAATTACCCCCTGGATGGCTATCGAAGACACGGTAACGCTTCCATGGCACCTATACCTACTAACGCAATGGTCCCCCAAACCATTACCCGCGGAGCACTGCGCTGTTAATATTATTGGCGAACTTATCCCAATCCTTGTAGACATTTAGGGTATGGCGAAGCTTTTGTGCGGCCCACAAGCTCTCCACTTTTGGCCATATGGCATCGATGCTGTCAACGCCCCACGTAGCGACAAGCCTACTCCCACGAGCGTTACAGAATTACGAGGATTCCTAGGGCCTGCTGGATATTTCCGAATACTCATAGAGCATTACAGTTGGATAGCCGAACCTTTACATTATCTGCTTCGACGAAATGTTACATGGACATGGACTGAAGGGCATCAGAATCTGCAGGGCTGTCACTGAATTGCTCCGTTCCAGATTTCAAGAGGGCGCTAGTCGGATTGACCAGCACGCTGGTGAATCAAATGGACCAATCAGAAGACAGGGACAATTTTGCACCGGGAGTTCGGATTTTCCGACTTCCGCTTTCCAATCGGGACAGCGTCACGGCTCACTGCAAACATTTCACACGCGATATTAATGCCAGCTTAAATCAACAGCATAGAGCATGCCCTCAACTGCTCTGACAAGCTTCCAGTCGTTTTTCTATACCTGCTACACAGCTAATCCTCGCTCCCTGAGCCTTCGACCCCCCAGCGGCATCCAACCCTCCCCCAGCCCTACAGACATGTCTCCTTCTCCTCCCGGGATACCGGCAGAGCTCCTTCCAGAAGTGGAACAACAGATACCAGGCGACTTACTAGGAGCCGGGCCTGCAGCCGTTCGAACACTGAATGCTAGAGAGGAGAATGTTCAGGGAAGAATGGTAAGAGGAGAATACTAGAGAACTAAAGAACTTTGTCCGACCGGCTTCATCCTGCAGCCACCAGCCACCACCTCTCCCCGCTGAAGCCTGTTCCATTGCAAATTCGGACGACCCGGACAATGGTCAGGAGAGCGACGCCAATGCTTTCCACCCTGCCCGTCCCGATCCCGCTGCAATAGGTATACTGGTGACTTGTGTATCGTCGAACACCACAAACATAGCAGCGCGAATATGAAGTTGAAGCCATGTTCTTGGTGACAGGACAAAGTAATTTTCCAAACCAATTACTGGAACAGGGTCACTGGCAAGATTAGCTTCTAACAATGTACTGTTATTAAGTTACTTCAGAAGATAACTGAAGCAATCTTATGTGCTCTGTTTGAGTGTAAGTCACTCTTAGCAATGGCACCAACAATTATACTGAGTAATATAGACTCTGTTATGGCAATGGTGCACTGTAAGTGTGTTACAGTCAATGCTGATGATATAAAGCTTGTTCTTGGTATTGGTGCCAAAATTAGATTGAACTATTTTGGTCTGATTGATGTATCTGATCACCCTGCCCCTGCTGCCACTATCTGCTATCTGTGTGCTGCCCCCACCCCACCAACTACTGCTGCCACCACTTCACCACCACTGCCACTGTCCACCACTACCTCTCTGCCTCCTCCTGGTGCTGTCAGGGTCTCTGTCTGTCAAATGGCAGGTATTAGAGCCCCTGTCCAGTTCACAAAGCCAGTTCTGAAGTTTTTGATGCAGAACTATTTGCTATAGATAAAGCATTTAAATTAGCAAGTTCTATCTCTCAGTCTCAATCAAGATCAATATCAAATATCTGGGTGTTTTCTGATAGTCAAGCTGCTATTCAGAGACTCATAAATCAAGATCTTAATTCTGGCTTATATTATCTTCAATCTATAAGAGACACTGCTAAGTCTATTAAAAATCAGCAAATTAATCTACATCTTCATTAGGTTCCTGCACATGTAAATATACATGGAAATGAAGAAGCTGATCTAGCAGTAAAGAAAGCTACAGAATTAAATCAAGTTTGTTCTGAAAGATATATATCTCTTACTTATATAAAAAGACAAATAAAAGAACAAGCAATGATAAAGTGGTTTGAAGATCTTTTTAATAAAGAAAGTTCTACAAATCACTACTCTCAATTCAAAATAAAACCCAGATGGAAAGCATCTACTCTTTCTATATCTAAGAAGATAGTCTTCTTTCTCTAAAGAGTTTTGGCTTAGAGAACTGTTTTTTATCTTCTTTACCATTTACTTTAAAGAGTAAAGAAGATTTAACTGAAGATTCAGTATTTAGTCCAGTTTTTAGAGCAGAAGAATATGATTTGGAAGTATTACTAGTAGATACTTTCTCTTGAGAGCAGCTTTGTGAAGTATTACTACTGTCAGTAGCTACCTTTTTCTGATTTTCAAGCTGTATAATTTTTTTCTCAAGATTTTGAAGTTCAGAGTTCTCAAAAACAGTAGTATCTTTTTTTTCTTTAAAAGAAAAGATTTTTTGAATACTCAAGATACAAGTATTTAGTTTTTTTTGCACAAGAACATGATTCTTCTTCTGAGATTCTTTAGCAAGAAGCTTAAGAATTAACTTTAAATCTTGCTGTTTAGATTCAGAAGAAGAATCAGAAGTAAAAGGCATTTTAATTATGTTTCAAGAAGTATCTTCTTGAATAAGAAAACAGAAGATAATCTTTTGAAATTACTTTCTTAAGAAAGTCTTCTGGAGTTATTTTGTATCCCACTTGCTAGTTAACCCAAACTAGTTCAGTTGTTTTACTGAAAGCTGAAAATCTCAATGTAGTAGGTTTTTCTTTAGCCAGAGCTACACCTATTAAATTCTAGACTAGTTTTTTGAGAGAACTAGCAAACTATATAGTTTTTTTTAAAGACTGTGATCATGGGAACAGCTTCTAGGACAAAAACTATGGAAAAACTATTGGGAGAGTAGAGGGCAAGAGGACAAGCTAGTAAATTTAAAAAATATAAGCAATTATGTCTCAAAAATCAGTTAAATTAATACTAGCAAGTATACTTTTTGAAGAGAAGTATCAAACTAGAGAGCTTTTTGCAGAGAAGCTTTCAGAAACCAGCTGAAAGTATTCTTAAATTTAGTAGTAAAGACTCACATTCAAGATGCCAGAGCCAATACTATAAAAATAAGGTACATTCTAAGCAGAAAAGTGAGAAGAGCAGCTGATTTTTTCAGATGTAGCAGCATCAGAAAGCTAGCATATCTTTTATCAGATGGAAAAGATAGCAAATCTGTTAAGTCACTAGAAATCTAGCTTGATTTTTTTCTTAAATACAGAAAAATTAATAAAAACTGCTCTGATTTGCAAGGTAATCTACATTATAGCTTGTTTCTAGTTCAAAAACTTAGTTACTATAAGTATTTGAAAAGCTATTTTTCACTAATTAATTCTGATTTCTCAGCTACCAAACAGTATAGAACATACTAGTATTTAGTAGAGATTGGTCAGAATTTGCAGGGATCAATTTGGCTCAGCTATACCAAGGGTATCAAGTTGATAGGACTGATTTAGTGCTGGTGTGAGGCCTGGAGAGCAAAGATCAGATGAGAAGAGGTAGAAAGATAAGATGGAAGTAGATAAGATAAGATAAGAGCTCTAGCTTAGCTTGGTACACCTTAACAAAATGTGAGTAAGCAAGAGTCTTGGCAAGGAAAATCAAAATAAGAGAGTGTCTGGTAAGAGATTTTTCAGATAAAAAGAGTGCAATAACACAACAAATAGTAGAGATATAGTAAGGAAAATTTGGTAGTTTGTTTAAAGAGTGTTATTGAGTGTGTCTCTCAAAATTCAGATGAAAAGATCATATGGTTGCTGAGTAATAGTGTGAGAAGTGTTTCTGATGGACATGAGGCTGGCACCATTTATTTCCACTTATATCTCAACAACTGGCAAGGCAATTCACATGAAAATTGGAGAGGTTGTTAGATAGAGGAATAGCTTTCAAATGAATATGATTTCATCTATTTTGAACAAGAATTGACTGAGTTGTGAAAAGAGTGTTTGTGATGTGAGTTGCTCTGTCTGTTCATCTGTTTGTGAATAATAAACTGTTGATATCTTCTGTTCAATTCCCAATTGTGTCATTAATATTATCCAGAATTTGCTTATAAATCTAGTGTCTCAATCAGTGATTATCTCTTCTGGTATTCTATAGTTGGCAAGTATGTTTCATAATACTATCAGTACTGTATCTGGTGCTGTTATTACTTCTCTGAACAGTATGAAGTATCTGTACTTTATTAATCTGTCAGTAATTACTAGTATTGAGTTATACTTCTTCCCTTTCATATCCTTCAAATTCAGAAGTTTTGTGATGAAATCCATCACTATAGATCTTTATAGTTCTTGCAGTTGCAGTATTGACTGTAGTTTTTCATATAGTTAGTATTTGTTGGCTTTGCTTTGTGCATATATCTCACATTCTTTGATATGTTGTCAAATATCTGTTCACATTTCTGACCAATAGTAGATTCTTGTGATTTTCTTTATTATTTTGTCAATTCTAAAATGTTCTGCAGTAATTATATTATGCTCTTGTATCATTACTTGCTTTCTGACTTCTCTGGGTACATATATCAGTTTATAATATAGTATCATTCTATCTTCTTTCTTGAAGTTGCTGTTTTTCTTATCAATCTTTTTCATATAATTATTTTTTTTTATTGCTTTTTTGATCCTTTCTTTAATATTTAATTCTTCTATGGTGATTCTTGTCACTTTCAATATCTGTTAGTTCAGAATCATATTCTTTGTTTCTTTCAACTTCTTGAAAAGTGTTCTTGAATCTTGTTCTTTTCTTATAAGGTTCAGTCTTCAGCTTAATGTATCTATTCAGGCATTCTCTGTGTCTTTGCAGTGTTATAGTCTGAAATTATAGTGTACCAGTACATCTGCATACCATCTGGCT